TCTTCTAATGACATAACTACTTTGGACGCATATCCAAGTTCCAAAAAAAATATGGAAAAAATAAAAATGAAATTGAAAAATACAATTTTTGATATGTAAAAAGAGATTTTGAAAAAAATTGGGAAAAAGAGTATCTAATAAAATTGTTTGAGAGTCGAGAGTTTAGATCTTAGCAACAAGATCTGAGGAAGTAGATCTTAGCAACAAGATCTGAGGAAGTAGATCTTAGCAACAAGATCTGAGGAAGTAGATCTTAGCAACAAGATCTGAAAGTAGATCTTAGCAACAAGATCTGAAGAAGTAGATTTATTAGCAACATGATCTGAGGAAGTAGATCTTAGCAACAATCTGAGGAAGTAGATCTTAGCAACAAGATCTGAGGAAGTAGATCTTAGCAACAAGATCTGAGGAAGTAGATGTTAGCAACAAGATCTGAGGAAGTAGATCTTAGCAACAAGATCTGAAGAAGTAGATCTTAGCAACAAGATCTGAGGAAGTAGATCTTAGCAACAAGATCTGAGGAAGTAGATATTAGCAACAAGATCTGAGGAAGTAGATCTTAGCAACAAGATCTGAGGAAGTAGATCTTAGCAACAATATCTGAAGAAGTAGATCTTAGCAACATGATCTGAAGAAGTAGATATTAGCAACATGATCTGAGGAAGTAGATCTTAGCAACAATATCTGAGGAAGTAGATCTTAGCAACAAGATCTGAGGAAGTAGATCTTAGCAACAAGATCTAAGGAAGTAGATCTTAGCAACAAGATCTGAAGAAGTAGATCTTAGCAACAAGATCTGAGGAAGTAGATCTTAGCAACAAGATCTGAGGAAGTAGATATTAGCAACATGATCTGAAGAAGTAGATCTTAGCAACAAGATCTGAAGAAGTAGATCTTAGCAACAAGATCTGAGGAAGTAGATCTTAGCAACATGATCTGAAGAAGTAGATCTTAGCAACAAGATCTGAGGAAGTAGATCTTAGCAACATGATCTGAGGAAGTAGATCTTAGCAACATGATCTGAGGAAGTAGATCTTAGCAACAAGATCTGAGGAAGTAGATATTAGCAACAAGATCTGAGGAAGTAGATATTAGCAACAAGATCTGAGGAAGTAGATCTTAGCAACAAGATCTGAAGAAGTAGATCTTAGCAACAAGATCTGAGGAAGTAGATCTTAGCAACATGATCTGAAGAAGTAGATCTTAGCAACAAGATCTGAGGAAGTAGATCTTAGCAACAAGATCTGAGGAAGTAGATCTTAGCAACATGATCTGAGGAAGTAGATCTTAGCAACATGATCTGAGGAAGTAGATATTAGCAACAAGATCTGAGGAAGTAGATATTAGCAACAAGATCTGAGGAAGTAGATCTTAGCAACAATATCTGAGGAAGTAGATCTTAGCAACAATATCTGAAGAAGTAGATCTTATCAAAAAGATCTGAGGAAGTAGATCTTAGCAACAAGATCTGAGGAAGTAGATCTTAGCAACAATATCTGAGGAAGTAGATCTTATCAAAAAGATCTGAGGAAGTAGATCTTAGCAACAAGATCTGAGGAAGTAGATCTTAGCAACAAGATCTGAGGAAGTAGATCTTAGCAACAAGATCTGAGGAAGTAGATCTTAGCAACAAGATCTGAGGAAGTAGATCTTAGCAACAAGATCTGAGGAAGTAGATCTTAGCAACAAGATCTGAGGAAGTAGATATTAGCAACAAGATCTGAGGAAGTAGATCTTAGCAACAAGATCTGAGGAAGTAGATCTTAGCAACAAGATCTGAGGAAGTAGATCTTAGCAACAAGATCTGAGGAAGTAGATCTTAGCAACAAGATCTGAGGAAGTAGATCTTAGCAACAAGATCTGAGGAAGTAGATTTGAGAGTCGAGAGTTTGATCTTAGCAACAAGATCTGAGGAAGTAGATCTTAGCAACAAGATCTGAGGAAGTAGATCTTAGCAACAAGATCTGAGGAAGTAGATCTTAGCAACAAGATCTGAGGAAGTAGATCTTAGCAACAAGATCTGAGGAAGTAGATCTTAGCAACAAGATCTGAGGAAGTAGATTTGAGAGTCGAGAGTTTGAGCAACAAGATCTGAGGAAGTAGATCTTAGCAACAAGATCTGAGGAAGTAGATATTAGCAACAAGATCTGAGGAAGTAGATCTTAGCAACAAGATCTGAGGAAGTAGATCTTAGCAACAAGATCTGAGGAAGTAGATCTTAGCAACAAGATCTGAGGAAGTAGATCTTATCAAAAAGATCTGAGGAAGTAGATCTTAGCAACAAGATCTGAGGAAGTAGATCTTAGCAACAAGATCTGAGGAAGTAGATCTTAGCAACAAGATCTGAGGAAGTAGATCTTAGCAACAAGATCTGAGGAAGTAGATCTTATCAAAAAGATCTGAGGAAGTAGATCTTAGCAACAAGATCTGAGGAAGTAGATCTTAGCAACAAGATCTGAGGAAGTAGATCTTATCAAAAAGATCTAAGGAAGTAGATCTTAGCAACAAGATCTGAGGAAGTAGATCTTAGCAACAAGATCTGAGGAAGTAGATCTTAGCAACAAGATCTGAGGAAGTAGATCTTAGCAACAAGATCTGAGGAAGTAGATCTTATCAAAAGATCTGAGGAAGTAGATCTTAGCAACAAGATCTGAGGAAGTAGATCTTAGCAACAAGATCTGAGGAAGTAGATCTTAGCAACAAGATCTGAGGAAGTAGATCTTATCAAAAAGATCTAAGGAAGTAGATATTAGCAACAAGATCTGAGGAAGTAGATCTTAGCAACAAGATCTGAGGAAGTAGATCTTAGCAACAAGATCTGAGGAAGTAGATCTTAGCAACAAGATCTGAGGAAGTAGATCTTAGCAACAAGATCTGAGGAAGTAGATCTTAGCAACAAGATCTGAGGAAGTAGATTTGAGAGTCGAGAGTTTGGATCTTAGCAACAAGATCTGAGGAAGTAGATCTTAGCAACATGATCTGAAGAAGTAGATCTTAGCAACAAGATCTGAGGAAGTAGATCTTAGCAACAAGATCTGAGGAAGTAGATCTTATCAAAAAGATCTGAGGAAGTAGATCTTAGCAACAAGATCTGAGGAAGTAGATCTTCAAGATCTGAAGAAGTAGATCTTAGCAACAAGATCTGAGGAAGTAGATTTGAGAGTCGAGAGTTTAGATCTTAGCAACAAGATCTGAGGAAGTAGATTTGAGAGTCGAGAGTTTGGATCTTAGCAACTAGATCTGAGAGTTTTATCATTTCCGGCATATTGGGCCGAAAAGGAGTGATCCGCGTAAGTATGAAAAAAAGTGAATTTTGTTGTATGGTGTTTTTTATTATATCCGTTTCTCTCACAATTTTCAATAAATATTATTGTTCAAACGGAAATATAAATAAACAATTCAAAAATAAAAATGTAAATGTAAATTGAAAATGTATTATAAACATGCTAAAAAGCGTATATTTTAAACTTAAAGGAAAAATGAAATTCGTAAAAATGAGCATGATGTTTGATAAGGGAGTTTTAATTTTTTTTTCAAAAAAATTAAGGAACTTAAATTGAGATTATCAGGCTATGTAGTGGGTATTTTTACGATCTGACTGCAGAAATCGAATCAGCGAGACCCGAAGATTCATATTCCGCTGGAAAAATAGGGTTTCGAGGCGTAGATAGGGATAAAAAGATGCTTTAAGAAGATCTCAGTAGAAATATGGTTTATAAGAGGATATAGGTCAGGATATAAGATTATGAAAATTGAAGAAGTGAATTATCAAGATGTATTTATGAGTAAACTATATTGTTTTAAGCTATCTAAATCTGTTTTGATATAAATTAAAGCGTATACTTATGCAAAATGCGAAATTTAAATTAATACTTTTTTTTTGCTATTTGGACACAAAGCTAACAATCCATCCAATAAATGACGTATACCTAGCGAGATGAAGCATTTTAACATGAAGACAAGAAAATCTGATGACTTGTGTTGAAAGTTTCTGTATTTCGTCTTCTTCCAAACACAGCGTTCAGATGCAGAAGAAAATGCAGCCGTAATGACGCAAAAAGACACTAAAATAAATTGGAGAATTTCTGTAAAGTTTTTTACTGAGCTTTGTTATTGAACCCGAATTTGTTGCTGAGTGACAGGATATTAAATCTACGACATTCATGAGTAATTGTTATCAATTTGTCAATAAATTATGTTGAAGATGGTTTAAATGTCTTCGAAGGCATGAAATTAGATCCTAAATCTGTTTGAGTTAATAAAAGAGAACAAATGTTGAAAGAGTTGTCATATTGCCTACAAAATTTTCAAACATTTGCATTGAGACAATGTGAAAAAATGATGTCCAAAATACCTTGACTAAAATATTTTTAATTTGAATCATAACAAGGAAAAACAATAATGGCAGAATAAGAAAAAAAACAAAGATGTATTGATTTGAACAGTTGCCTTTTAGATTCAAAAAGAGCATAGTGTTCCTAACCACTACACTACCTTCCTTTCCGATAAAAAGCTGAATAATTAGTATTTAATGAATTCTCCAGCTTGGGGATTTGCAGCTTTTCCAAAATCTGTTATGATAGTTCTATATAGCAATTGATATATAATATGTTTTTTATAATCAATTAATTTTTTAGTCCAGATGAATTTTTTAAAATTTCAAAGTCTTTCCATTCTACTAACGCTCTTCACATCCATATCCTTTACCATATATGTAATATAACGCCTTATTTTAATTCCCATGTTTACGATTTATTTGTCGAAAAACTGTCTTGCCCATTAACATCTCGGAAAAATTTTCGACTTTTTGAATGGCCGTTTTCAAGATCTCAAAAACTGTGGGATATTTTTTACAAAGCTAATCGACATTTATTTACCACATATGTGTACTATACAATGCACCTGGTTTCATCGAATTTTTACCGTCAGTTTTCTCGTGAGACTACCTTTACAATAACGTATAAAATTTTTATGTTAGCTGTTTTTTTTTTACATTTTATATGAAAAATCGCAAAATTAAAGAGAGACCACCATGGGATGACGGAACTGAACAACAATCTCTACGCAGACCACCATTAAATCCTGTATGGGCTGCGGAAGTTGTAGCAATACCTCCTCGCGGAAATGCTCCGAGAATAAATCCAGATGATCTGCCTCCATACCAAGATCCAATGGGCGAGAAACTTCCTCAAAAGCCAAAAGGTAAACGCTACACTGTAAGTGGAAGAGAAATTCCAGAAGATGACCCAAATATGATTTGGCAGTGTCCATATTGCGGAGCTGAATGGTATGCAGATGATCCAGGAAGATGCCCAAAGTGTCATACTGATTTATATGCTCCACGTCCAACATACGGCTTAATGCATCCACTTATTGCAGCGATGCAAATGATTGACGAAGGCTACGATCCTAGAACTGGCGAAATCGATGAAGTCATGGATAGATTAATGAAGGAGCAAATTGAAGCTGTAGGAGGCCACAGGCCAGATCCTCCTAAGCGAAAAGTTACTTCAAATGTACGAAGGCTTCTCTTCATTGAACCTGGAAACGAACCAAAACGTCGTGATCCAGCAGCTACTTATCTCGATTTAATCGACATTCCAGCTGGAAGTCGAGCAAAATGCGATATTTGCCATATGGCTTTGAAACCAACACAGAGAGTTGCAAAATTAAAGTGTGGCCATCAAGTACATTCCAATTGCATTTCGCAACATTTCAAAACGAGTAGTAATTGCCCAGTATGCAATCAACCATTGTAATTTCATGATAGTAATTTTACCATGTAATGTTATGCATTAAATGATTATGATTGAGCTTTTATTTTTGTAAAACATTAATTAATTATTCAATATGAAATTTGTGAGTTTTAATTTTTGATGGATAATTTGAGAAATGTTGATCTTTAGCTTGAGGCAATATTATTTTTGAGGGAATTTAAGCATTTTATTCAAAAAAGAAAAATTCATAAAATATAACCCTAACAATCTATATAATTTATAGCAAACAAAGAAAAAGACAAAAAGATACAAACAAAGGAATCCAAGATAAGATTAAAATCTTGGGATATCAAATTAAACTACGATATCTTCCATTTTTGTAGAAAGAACTAATGATGGTAATGTCTCTTTATGAGAGTTAAGAAGGTTTTCAATAGAGAGAACATGATTAGCCGTTTCTTTTTGTGGAGGTGGGCGAACGCGTTGGAAATTCGGTGGCATGAAGCTTTGTACACCCTCGACATTACGCCATGATGAATCAATTAGCTGATTAGAAATGAGAGTATTATTGCTCGATGAATAAACTGAGGATGCAGAAGTAACTTGAGGATAAAGCGGTACTGAATAGCATTGTCTCTGATTCTGGAATGGTTGATTCTTTGGAGTTCTCCCAGGACCTTTATGATCATCAATCAAAATTATATTTCCAACGAGATGAGTTCTTTTACTTAAAGAACTGTTCCATCTGTTTTTAACCATATTTTCTGACTTACCTGGCATTGACTTTGCAATAGTAGTCCACTTAGATCCGTAAGTAAAATATAATCTTGCGAGAGTAAAATCATCGTCTGGGGTCCAAATGTTATTAGATGCATTTATTTTTGGGTTAACATAGTTGTTGTATCTGTCACGACATTGTTTTGAAGATCTTGTAGAAAATTTTTCTGAAACTTTAGAAGCAATCTCTTTCCAATTTATACTTTTAGAGTTAAGCACTAAATCTCTGAGAAGAGAATCTTCTTCTGGCTTCCATAGTTGGCGTTCTCTAACATCAGTCATCTAAAAATACTTTGAAGTTTTTGAATTTTTTCACCGAAAAAGTGAAAAAATTTTTATGAAAATTTTGAGCAACCTCAAATTTTTGAATTAAAAAATTGAATTTCATCATTTCATAACGAATTAAAATCATAATTAATGACTAATAGAAAAAATTATTTCAAAGCCTTATCCAAAAATATTGGAAATTTATTCACCGAAAAGGAAAGAATCGGTTTCAGTTGATGTATTAGATCCAATTCATTGAAGAACGAAAATATAATTGCTGTGGATCTGAATAACGAATCATTTAACAAGTTCATCTTTCTTTGAGCTTATGTTTTTAAAATTCGGATCATCAAAACTTTAATCATAGAAGAGCTTTTGGAAAATATTATATAATCCAAATCTAAAAAAAATCTTATTCCTGCGATAATTATTTTTAACATACTGGATAAATAACAAACATTGCTTGCGTTATTATGATTTTTCTATTGAATGCCAAATCAAATATGCTATGTAAGCTGAAATCACAAGGTTTATTTGAGTTGGCATTCAGCTTTTTTATTCCCAATATCCTTCTAAACACCATTGAATTCCCATATATTATTAACATAAGCATCTTCGATTGCAGACCAATGTTCTGAAAACCAAAATAGCAAAGCATCATTTATCCTATATTGATGTGTTAATGCAAGATTCAATTTTTTGGCCACCACTTGAGCTTTATTTCGTAATTCCGTAATGGAATCATCTTCAATGATTTTGAATTCTTTTAGTTTGTTAATGAGGTTTTTTGATTCATATTGAGATATTCGGTTTTTTAAAGCTTTTGGATTTAGTATCAATTCTAGAGATGTTAAAATCGTGGATTTATCTTGATTGTGATTTTCATACCATTCATACAACTGAGAAAATGAATCATTAACAGACTGTTGCAATATTTCTTCAGTTATACCTCCATTAAAACCTTGTAGATTATCTTTTTGGCTCATGAATAAAAATGTTTTTTTTTCCACTCTGAAAAAATTTGAATCAAAAAATAGCCATCGGATCCACTGTTTTTCAATTAAAAAAAAAAAAAAAAAAAGGTAGTGGGGCTTCCAGGCGCGTTGCGCCCTCTAGCCCTGAAGATGTTTAGTATAAATGAAGTTTATATTCGGAGGGCTTCCAGGGGCTGCGCCCCTTCTAGCCCTAAGAAATTTTGCCCAAGACCCAAGAGGAGGACCGAACCCCAGCCGACCAGCCGTTGACTTTTTTGTAGAGCACTCAAAATAGTATACCTTTGTCCGGACAAGTAAGGGTCTATCGTCGCTACAGGAAAAGTTACGGGCGTTCCAAGGAAGTATACTTTGAGAAGCCTTTTCCCCCTTATAGAATGAGATAGGACGGTTATTTTACAAAACTGACAACACTTTGACCGAGTAGTTTTTGTGCTGAACAAAAAGTGTCATATAAACATCTGTCAAAAACCGCTTTTTAAACTTCACTTAAAATGCCACGTAAGCTACGTAAGAATATACGTAAGAGGAAGGGAGCATTGAAACATCCAATAGTAAAACTGACACCACAACAACAGTTGCAACAACAAATGATGAATGACCCCACTATGTTGCAACAAATGTCAAGCAACCCTATGCTTTTAAACCGAGTTATTGGTGCACAGAGTGGAGGTTTAAGAGCGGCACTTTTAGCGAAAATGGCAGGCTATGGTGGAGCTGCAGACGGAACAGCTTATAACCCTCAAAGTCAAATGAATTTGAGTTCACTCAAAAATCAAATAACAGATGTCAAAAAGTCAAACATAGACATACAGAAACAAATAAGTGAAAACGAAAAGAAACTAGAATATGACAGACACACAAAGAAACTAAATGAGTTAAACGTAGAGAAAAAGAAGAAAGAAGAACAACTGAAAGAACTAAGTACAGAGGAATATGCAAAAAAAGTGTCAGAAAAAGCAGCAGAAGTAGCAAAAATGGAACAAGATGTTATAAATTTGAAAAACCATACTACTCAATATAAAGTACTGAAAGATGAAGAGATAAAACAAAAAGCCATGAAGACATATATGGATAGCGATGAGTATAAAAAAGAAGTTGAAGCAAATGTAAAGGCAGAAAAACTTTTACAGTTGCAAAACCAAACCGTACAGTATGAAAACTTAGCACAAGAAAGTAAAAATAACGACGCAGCCATGCAAAAGGCAATGAAAAGCGCAGAATATATAAAAGCTAAAAATGACTGGTTAGATGCCCAAGCCAACGCTAAAGCAGCCCAACTTATAGGGTCAATAAGGACAAAAATACAAGCGGATGAAGACAGTTCAAATGAAGCTTTAATGAATGCTGACTTTAAGAACGCCTTCGAAGCTCTTCATAGTAAGGTGAAACTAGTGAACGACTTCTCATCTGGAAAGAAACTGAAGTCTGAAGGTTTCGACAACGAGTTAAGAGAAGTAGCACAAAATATGACGAAAATAACAGATGCAGCAACGAGACAGGCAGTTCAAAGTGCCTATGACGCCGTTAGAGCAACTGTTGTGGAAAGTCAAGAAAAAGAGTTACAACAGACCAAAACAGACCTAGTAAATGCTTTCTTAAAAACGAAAAGTCAGGTAGGACATTATGCTGCAGATGGAACATATGTGCCAGCTGGTGGAACTTATATACCAGCTGGTGGAACTTATATACTAGCTAGTGGAACTTATATACCACCAAACCCTCCAAGAGAAGCACCTGCACCAGGACTACCTAAAACATTTACATCGTCACATGGACACAGACACAGGCATGCACCAAAACCAACACAACAACCAACAGTTCAAAATCCAGCACAACAACCAACAGTTCAAAAACACTGCACCACAACCAACAGTTCAAAACACTGCACCACAACCAACAGTTCAAAACACTACACCACAACCAACAGTTCAAAACACTGCACCACAACAACCACAAACAGAGCAAGGACATAAAAGAAGTAGAGAACAAGGAAACCAAGAATTCTTAAAAATGCTTAAGGAAGACTATGGTTACCCAGATACTCTTGACTTTAGTGACAGATATAAAGAAGCTATTAGAAAGTTCAAGGAAGGAAATACTGACCCGAACCTATTTAGCTTTATGGTTCAGCACCAAATGGGATATAATTTCAAACCTGGAAAATACAAGCTCGCTAAGGGATATGATTTAATAGCATATCATCCAAATGACATGACTGAATTTACTCCGAGATATTTGTGTCAGAGCTAAATGATAATTCAACTCTCTTCATGAAACGCGTAAAAAATAGAGACGGAACGAAAGAAGAAAGGTTTATGAGTCCGGATGACTTAGATAGGGAACTTTTTAAAAACGGTCTCGGAATATATGAAATGCCAGCAGATGAGGTACAAGAAACTCCACAGGAAGAAGTTCAGATACAACCAGACATGGAAGAAATAGTTCAGCAACAACAGCTAGAAGAGCCTGAAGGAAAACAAGTCCCTCCTTTGGAAACTAACTTCACAGAACTAGATGAAGATTTGGAACAGCCGAAAAAATCTTGACCCTCAACAAGTGTATGCGGGGAATATGGAATCTTTCCAAGAGTCTAAGAAAAATTCGGCTGACATAGTAGAAGAATATCGAAAAATGTTCGCCGACATACAAAAGACTCCAACATCAGATGAAAATATTCAGCATAGAATGGAAGTACTGAAAGAAAATGTACGCAAATACAACAATCCTTTTTACTTACGACCATATAACGTTCAATCTTTGGCTGAACTCGGTGAAAATAAAAGGTTAAATTTCAACAAAACATATAGAAATGAAACATTGTTTAAAGTTCATTCAGAACCTAACCAATATGGAAACAAACCTACTTTTGTTTCTGCAGACTATGGAACTACAATGAGATGGGGTCATAAAGCTAATCCGGATAGGTGGTTCATAAACTTACAACCTCAATTCCAAGAAGTTGTAGACGCAATGGAAGTGAATGGTGAACCAGATATAGCTGGTATTTTCAGCGCGGCTTTAATGCCATTGAAAGATATGAAACATGCAGATATTTTGGACCAGTATGAAATGAACATGGCTGATGGAAATATAACACCTGACGTTCTAGAACATTTATCTCAAAGAACTACACAGAACCATAAAGATGGTATATTTGGTGAAGAGTTTAGAAAGAAAGTTAGGGAGAGAGAAGGAAGAGAACCTATTGTACATGACCTTGCAAACGAAAGTTTACAAAATGTCATAAAAACTTACTTTGCAGACAATGAACCGAGAAGGGATGAATATTTAAGAAAACTCAAATGGACAGTACCAAATGAAATGTTAGTATTGAAAACATGTTCCTTGACAAAATAAAACCAACTACAGAAATAAATGACGCAAGACTGAAACATTGGGTAAAAGCTTTCCCATTCACAAAAGATATTATTGGTAACATGGAAAGAAAACCAGAATGGCTACAAAAACATATATTTGGAAACGAGCTTATTCCATATGGACAAGCTCTGTTTGAAGAGCTTGAACCGGAAACTCAGGAAAGAGTCATGCAAACAATACGCGAAGACTCAAATACAAACTATGACAAAATCTTTCTAGGATATAGGTTACCTGAGATGGGCGACCAGAGCCCAAAGGCAAAAAGGACATGGGAAATTTACAACATACTAGGTGAACATGAGGCAAAGATGCAACAACTTGAAGCAGAGGGCAAGTTACCAAAAGCGACACCAAAGAAGAAGAGTAGAACAAAGTGAAAGTAGTGAAGAAGTAACTTCATCTAGTGAAAGTAGTGGCAATGAAGGAAAAAGAAGAGTTAAAAACTCAGTCAGGAAGAAAGTAAAGCTTGGTACGAGTGGGTTCTATTATGACACATAAATTCAACTATTCTATATTTTTACCCATATGAAATGTACGCCGCTCAGAATATAACGCCAACAGTTTTGGATGCCATGAACGGAAATGTTTCCGAATGGTATAACGAATGCGACAATGCCATTAGAAGGTCAGAAATAGTTCCTGGAACTTACGAATATACAACTGCTGTTTCTTATGGAAACGTAGGTGAGTTTGGAGAAGGTTCTTCAACAACAGTAGATATTGCTTGCGACAGGTTTCATATTATTTCTATTGACAACTCATTCTTATACGTGGAACAAGACATTGAAATAAAACCTTCTGCCAAGTTGTCTGACAAGAAAGGTTGCAATGGAATTTTCTATGTCGGATACCAATATGCTCCAGAAGTTTTCATGGGATATAAGATATATTCTAACTCTGACTTAGTTCAAACAGTAACATGGGCAAACTATGAATGGTTCGCTTTGAGAAACTCAGTACAACCACAAGCTAGAGAACAAACAGACCAGTATGCAAATATTGAGAAAATAAGAAGACTTGACCCTAACGTTCCAGGAGTTTATGTTAACCTTTCTGGTTCAGATGGAAATGCTGCCACTAAAGTAAAACTGAAACTTAGAGTTCCTTTGTCATCTTTCCTCATCTTCAGGTTTTTAAGATACTTGCCAAACTGGGCAGGAAAAATTTCTATTGAACTTACTCCAAGCAAAAATAACTTAGTCATTGCACCAACACAAGACCCATTCAGCATTACTGTAGCTGGAACTGGTGGAGCCAAGTTCTGTGACTTTTGCAAAGACAAAGTTGACTTAGACTTTGGTTTCTCAAACTTCAACAATGAAGTAAACTATTATTTCAATGCTGCTGGAACTGCTTGGGACCCAGTTAAGTTTACATGCGAAAAATTTGAATGCAAGAGAATAGAAAGCAGACTTGCCGTTTATATGTTGGACCCAGATATTTCAAATGCTTTAGCTGCCAAATATATTGCAGTTCCACTTATGTTCCCTATACACCAAATATCTGTCAAAGACTTTGCAGGTGAAGTTGGAAACCAAAGTGCTGACCCAGGTGCAAGAACAGATATTGCTTTAACAACTGCAATGAAACATGCAGATACTATGTTTGTACTGTTCAGACGAACTATAAATGACTATTCTTGTTTCTACAACCCCGGTATTAAATATCATATAAACATAGATGGCAAATATTATCCAAGAGAAGAATATTCTACAGTTGAGGATATGAGGTCATACAACTTGACATTAGATGCTATGAACTTTAACAACAACTTCACAACAACCATTAACCCTGAAATGCAAAGTTCTATTATGCCATATGTGAAAGTATGGACTCATACAGGAGGTCAAAAAACTCAATATACAAATGGAGACCGTTCAAACTTTTGGCTTGGCATTCCATTTGCTGACTCAGAAGACTTTATGGGTGGTATTTCAACTGTTGGTACAGTTCAAATACAATATACTGGTGACAGAGACGGTCCAGATGAATTGAGAGCAAAGAAGTTTACAAAACCAATAGCACTTTTCACGGAAGATGCTCTTTTGAAGATTCGTTCGATGAAACCTGCTGGGGCTCCTCAGATTGGCATAACGACAGCTTCCATCGAGCAGATTTTGGCAGCAGGTCAGTAAGTTGTTCTTGAACTGACTTCTCTCCGTCAAATATTGACAGTACGCCAGTTTTGACATAATATTGTAAGATAAACTTTCCTTTAGAAATATCTGTAAGTTTTGTTGTTATATTTTTGTCAACGTCAAGAACTTTCACCATCTCGGTTATACCAACTTTCTTTGCTTTATGGAAATATTTTGGTTCAGCAAAGACTGCTATTCTATAACATTTACCATTGTTTGTATAAAGAACTATTCTGTCAATGTATTTGTATTGTTTGTGTGTGTAAACTTTGTTTTGCTTCAATTCGAAGAGATACTCAAATACGTCCATCTTTTTATTCTAAGTAAAATGTCATTTCCGAAAAATAGAAGCGTAAGTGTTTCAAAAGGTTTAATGGCGGTGGCAGATGTGAAGTTAAATTCACCAACTCAAACAAACAGTCAAAGTGTTATTGTCAATGTCAAAGACAGAGATGTTGAAGTGGGGAAACCATACGAAGACGAAGATGGTATAGCAATTGTTCCTGTAAAAGAACAACCAACATATCCTGAAGTTAGCAGAGACTTAAGTTCTGTTGCAGATATTCGAAATGACTACCAACAACTTAAAGACAAACTTCAAACTCAGGAGAAGATTTGTCAAGCTTTAGGTATAATGTTAAACTTGGTCGAACACAACCCTGTAAAAGTGAACTCATATGTCATTGCACCTCATGAAGTTTTGAAAGAACTATTGAAACTTTTGACAGAGGCAGACGATATAAACATCAAAGAAATAGAACCCGACATTAGTTGCTGTGGTGTTTCATATAATGTCATTGACAAGATATACGTTATGAAAGGAGGTGAAACGTTGAACTTAAAGTATAGTTTCCCAGACGTCATAAAAATATTTGACGACCAAACATTTCATTAAAATTTATTTGCTAAGTAAAAATGTCAAAACTTCTTGAAAGATGTTTGAAGAAAAATAATATAGACTTTATTTCATGTAAAGGACTTTACACACTTTTGAACGATATGAAAGACCCTGTTTTGTTTGTTCGTGTAGACAAAGGAAAGTTCTATGTCTTTACAAAATATTTGAACTTCTTAGACAGAGAACTTCAAGAAACGCCATGTGAAAGTTTAGATGAAGTTCTTCTCCACTTTCAGAAAAACTTTTAAATATATATAAATGGCAGAAGATATAATGGTTTATACTATTACGACTAAAAACCCTGAGTCATATAATTCTATAACAACAAACTTACAAAGTCCTCAAGGACGATATTGTAAACTAACCTTAAACACAATGACGACTAAAGCCTGTTTTGCTCTTTTGACACCAGAAGACTTTATTGTTGTGAATGGTAAAAAATACTCCTTTGAAGATACTTACTCAGATATACCACCAACAGGTTTTGTTGACTTATTTAATACTTTAAGGACGGGTGTAACATGTGCTGCAACTAGAGCAGGTTTCATTATGTTTGGATGTCCGACTGAGTTTACTATAAACAATATGAGCTATAATACAAAACTTATATCTGGTTTTTACTACCAACAGTTTCCTATAACAGGAAAAGGTGTCATACAAGGAATGTCTATTCCATTGACATTAAGCACACCTATTTTATATATTGTTTCAAACTTAGGTTCAAAGTGCTATTCGAATGTCGACAGAAACTATTATGACCAAAAGATACTTATGCGTATAAACAATACTTTCTCTGCTGGTTTGCCTATTGTTCATTCGAATGCAGAATTTTCAACCTTAGTGAACTCAAACACATTGGCAAGTATAACGTTGACATTAGTTGACGCAAACTTTGTTCCTGTAAAACTTTTATGTCCTATGTATTTGTCAATGACGGCAGAAAGTTTCGAATTGGAAGATGCAACCGGTGAAAGTATTGTATTACAAGAACAACTTCAACAACAAATAGCTCAAGAACAACAAATGCAACAAATGCAACAACAAAGTCAAGAATAAAAAAAATATTTTTTTTATTTTTATAAAAATGTACAGAATAGATGTTTCAGATTTTTATGACTTCCAAGCATTCAGAAATATGTGTCCATTTCGAGACTATAACAAAGCAGTCGAGAATTTGAAACGTTTAGTCATTTATGTTGACTCTGCCCCAGAATGTTATGTTATGAAAGAATGGGATGTAGTCTTTAACAAACCTAAAGCGACAATAGTTTCAGAACAAGAATGTAAACAGAAACTTAAGAAAATAAAAGTCGTACAAGTTGGCATGAAGATGTTAGATGCTTGGGATATCTTATTGTCAAAACTTGAAGATTTTTCAGTTCGAGGTATAAAGTTTTATACACCTTCTCCAAACTTCTATTCTATCTTCACTGGATATAAATACGAACAAGTAGAATGGAAAGAAAATATTATAGAAGCTTGGTTAGACCATGTCAAAGAAATTATATGCAATGGAAACGAAAAGGTTTATGAGTATATCTTATGTTGGTTTGCAAACATCTTACAACATCCAAGTGCTAAAAATGAAACTGCTCTCATTATAATTGGAAAACAAGGAACTGGTAAGAATACTTTCTTTACAGATATTTTGTGCAAACTGTTAGAAGGTTATTCGAATCCGAATATGACAAACATAGAAAACATCTGTGGCAAGTTTAACTCCTCAATAGAGAATATGAAACTTATAGTTTGTAACGAACTTCAAAGTATAGATACAACAAAAGTTTTGAACTCAGATGCTTTGAAGAGTCTTATAACAGACAAAGTTGGTGTTGTTGAAAGAAAGTATAAAGACCAAAGAGTTTGTGAAAATGTTGCAAACTTCATTATGGTTTCAAACAATGCTGTTCCGATGAAGTTAGAAAGTTCTGACAGAAGATATGTAGTTGTCAGAACGTCAGATTCTCATATGCAAGATACAGAATATTTTGACGACTTAGCAGAAACTTTGACATCTGACTTTTACAACCACTTGTTCTCATATTTTATGACATTAGATATTTCAAAGTTCAATCCAAGACAAATTCCACATACCGAAGAGAGACAAACATTGTTAGAAGCAAACAAGAGTGTATATGAACTGTTCATAGATGAAACTGACTTTGTGTCATTAGATGAAAGGTCATTGTACGATTCGTATAAACAATATTGTCAAGAATATGGTTATATGACAGCGTCTAAACGAACATTCTTGGCAAATGTCAAAAGTCTTTTAGACGTACAGAATGGTGTATATACAAAGAAAAATTTTTATGAGTAAATTTTAAAAAAAATATTTTTTTATCCGATAGAAAAGATGACAAAATTCATCTCAGTAAACAAGTACATGTCAGGACTTAAAGAAGAACTAGACCCATTCACATATTTGAATGTTTACTTCTACCATTTTGAAAAGTCTTCATTCAGCAAAGTTTGGAACATCGAACCAGTTAAGTTTGCTATTGTGACTAAAAATGGTGCGAAATTTGAAGACTTAGACATAGAAGGTTTGTTAGCAGTCAAAGAAAGTTTTGACAGAAGGTTCTCAAACCTTAAAGAAGGCAAAGCATACAAACTTGTTATACCTTATGAACCAAAGAAAGCAGACGACTATGAATATTATGAGTCTAAGATAGTTGAAGTTCAAGGTAAATTGGGTAAAAAGATTTTAGAGTCTAAGCCAGTGTTTACTCCTAAAGAGGAAGAGAACATTGACATTGACCCAGAAATGTTCTAAAAATAAAATTTTATTTTTACATGTCAAATTTCTTTTTCTCTGGAACTGGTTCAGGTTCTTTTTTCTCTTCTTCTACTTTCTTTTCTTTCTTCTCTTCTACTTTTTTCTCTTTCTTTTCTTTCTTCTTCTTCTTCTCTGGTGGAGTTATGTCAAATTTCTCCGAACCATATTTCTGTAAAAGTTCTTTGTCCTTTAATAGCTCTTCTATTCTGTTTTCTATTTCATCTTCAAGAACAGCGCATGTGTCTTCTTTGCATTCTAAGAAGTTTTGTTGGACTTCATCTCTCCAAGAGGCGTCATCTCTGTCAACAAGTCTGTCATTGACAAATTTTAAGACTGCTCTTTGTAATGTTTTATGGTTCTTGTCATATTCCCAGAAACAGAACTTTAGAACAAATTCACCTTTCTTGTTTACACTATGTAAGATTTTATGGTCGACAGATGTTTTGCTGTCGAAAAGTTTGTCACGGACATAGATAGCGAAATCGCTGGACATTTTCTAAAAGATAAAAATTTTAATTTTTCTAAAAATATGTTAGAAAAAAAGTTTGCTGACATTGACAAGAAATTTGAGAATGTTTTAAATAAGAACAAGAGAAAGTTAGAAAATGCTCAGATAAAGCCTATACATGACAAGTTCTTATTTGCTCAGAATGGTATAACAGGTCTAATTGCACCACCTGGGTCGGGTAAGACTTTCACTTATCTTAAAATGGCTGCACAACAACAAGAACTAGATGAGAAGAACCCATTCTATGAGTTAGTTGTTATTTGTAGTACTTCTGGTCAATTTGACCAAACCGTCAATTCGTTCAAAGATATTATAAAGAAGTCTAAGTTAGTATGTATAAAAGACTCTGAGTTGTTAGATTGGATAAAGAAGTACCAAAGAAGGGTTTTGAAGTACAATGCTATAAATGAGTATATAAATTCTAAGTTTAAAGACCCAAATGAGGAAATGCAGAGAATATTAGAGAAGAAACACTTCAGAAACAAACAGAAAGAGATAGAATACATTTCGAAGAAATTGCAATCTTACGATTGGAAAACGTACCCTCACAGATGTCTTCTTATCTTAGATGATTTCGCCTCTCATCCTTTGCTTAAGAACAGAGAACAAGATATGTGTCGAATTCTTAAGAAGCTCAGACACTTTAACATCTCAGTCGTAATATGTGTACAGACAGCAAAGAGTTTAAGTAAGGATGTAAAGAGAATACTTACTGACATTGTACTTTTCCCCGGATTGTCCGAAGACGATTTCATGGAACTTATGAAAGAGTCCATGGCAGGTAAGTTTGACAGACATGAACTATGGGAGAAGTACAAAGTCATACAAGACCCTCATACTTCTTTCAGAATTCATATCTACGCGAACAAAGTTCAAATTGTAAAAAGTCAAGCTTGAAAAATGTAAGTGTTTAGTCTTAGTAAGTCTGTTGTGGTGCTGGCTTTGGAAGGCATTCAGGAAGAGGAACGTGAGACATTCGTTTGTGTCCTGTCGGAAGGAAGAACTTTTCCAGTTGTCGGGAAAAACTTTTCCTGTCGGAAGGAAAAATTTTTTCTGTTGGAAGGAAAAACTTTTCCTGAAGTTCGACCAAAAAGTTCTCAATTTTCGAAAATTTGAATGGTTTACGGACGGACAACTGGAAAATTTTTTCCTGTTGGAAGGAAAATTTTTTCCTGTTGGAAGGAAAATTTTTTTCTGTTGGAAGGAAAAACTTTTTCTGTCGGAAGGAAGGACTCGGAATGCCAGAAGGATTTGACGAGGCAATTTACTTTATAGAGCTACCTGAGCCATCTGAAGTCAAGCTTGAAAAATAAATGGTTCATCTACCCTGCTTGTTTGAAGTTGTCAAAATACTCTGTTATTTTTTCCTTTAACAATGGCAAATCTTCTTTGAAGGTAAGTATTGTACAACCTTTCATATCATAGTGTGTTTGAGGTAAAGTATCTTGAACTATTTGTTTCACATCTTCATTTGGGGTCATTGAAATCGGTAAGTTTTCGCGATAGAACCAATTTCTGTCAGATTTGTAAATCTTAGCAAGGTCGTAAAAGCTTTTGTTGTTTCTTCTGACTAAATGCAACATAACCATATCTTTATCTTCTTCATTTTCCATCTCTTCAGTATAAATCATATACTTATAGTTCTTTTCCTTTCCTTTTGGTACCGAACGTGGTATTCTTTTCTGAATGCTTTTGTCTTTTGCTTCAAGCTTGTTCTCTAGCTCTTCACGTTCTTGTCTATGAATTTCGTCAAGAAGTCTGTAAATATTCCAAGCATAACGAGGCGAAGCCCACATTGCAACAGCATTTACAAGAAGTCTATGTACATAATATCCTCTCAAACCGTTTGGCAATTTTTCACGATTTTCATAGAGTTTTGGCGACTGGGGTTTCTTCCCTACTCGCTGTTCTTCACTGTTTTCATAGAGTTTTGGCGACTGGGGTTTCTTCCCTACTCGCTGTTCTTCACTGTTTTCATAGAGTTTTGGCGACTGGGGTTTCTTCCCTACTCGCTGTTCTTCACTGTTTTCATAGAGTTTTGGCGACTGGGGTTTCTTCCCTACTCGCTGTTCTTCACTGTTTTCATAGAGTTTTGGCGACTGGGGTTTCTTCCCTACTCGCTGTTCTTCGCTCAAAAGTTCTTGTGTGCTTTGGTTCCTAAACCAGTCTTTAGGAAGCTTAGTATCTGGAGCAAAACATGCTGTCAAAATACTTTGCATTTGGTACATATCGTCTTTGACTGAACGAATGAGACGTAACTGTTTGTTAAACTGAACCCACTCATATTCTTCATTTATGGCTTCATGAACTATAACTGTTGTTGTGTTCTCTGTTGTTGACATATCTGTCTTTACATACAAAATAAAAAAATATTTTATAAAAAATTAGCGTTATTTTCTATCTTTCACAAAAGACAAAAATAAACGCTTTACATGTATTTTTCAGCAACTTCGTCAAATAATTTTATAGCTTTATCTATCTCATCTACTTCAAACGTTTCTTTACCTTTCGTGGGAGCACCATACATTTTCTCAAACTTTTCAAGTAGTTCTGTTTCTGCAGCTCTCATATCATTAACAAACACAACCTTGACTCTATTGACTGTACTGTCATATCTTAGAGTTATATTATATGTTCTTCCTATCTTATATCTCTTTGTATTGAAGTCCTTCGGTTTCTGAACGATGTAAAGTAAGCCTTCACTGCAACGTTCCGTATCGAATGAACCATATGTTATGAAGTTATATCCAACAACTGGGTCTAACCATAACAAAACTATTGGTATAAGACTTTTGTCTATAAGATATGCTGTAGTTCCATAGAATCTTACCGATATCATAAGCTCAGGATTTCTTGTCAAAATTTTCTGAGTTGAAGCATTTCTAACCCAGTCGTTTGTTTTCTTTCCAAATGGAGATAAAATGTCTGACAAAGAATATTTGTTGTATTTCTTTGAGTATCTTACGTTTAAATCACCAATTCTAACCACTTTGGTGTCATTGTCTATCTTTTTAACTGTTTCAAACTCAGTGTTTGTCATATATGTTCTTACATACAAAATAAAAAAAATATTTTACAAAAAACTAACTTTATTTTTTCTATCTTGTATAAAAGATATGATTTCAGGGATTTTTTTGACGAAGTGTCAAAGTTCACTTCGTAAAAAAATAACAGTTATATAATGAAATTTGGTCATTTTTTTACGATTTTCATGAGTTTTAGGCGACCAGGTTTTTTTCCCTACTCGCAATTTTTTACGATTTTCATGAGTTTTAGGCGAGTAAGATTTTCTATCTTGTATAAAAGATATGATTTCAGGGATTTTTTTGACGAAGTGCAAAAGTTCTCTTCGTAAAAAAATAACAGTTATATAATGAAATTTGGTCATTTTTTCACGATTTTCATGAGTTTTAGGCGACCAGGTTTTTTTCCCTACTCGCAATTTTTTACGATTTTCGTACGGAATCTCTACCCTCGGTTTTCCTCGGGTAGCAAACATATGAGGAAATTCATGATTTTTGGTCATTTTTCAGCAAAAATATATTTTAGGTGAAGAGGTGCGATCTCACCTGTTTTTTCACCTGTTTTTTCACCTCAGTTATTTTATAAGCGTTTTACATGAATTGTACGATGTATATTTGAAATCCTAAACAGTTTTGTAGCTTCTATTTCTTCTGTCAGTATGTCAAAAGTTTTAACTATGCCGAAGGTTTCTTTATACTTCTTCTTGACGTCAGATAATAGGAAATCGTCAGCAGTTGGATAGTTTTTGTTCAGAAATGTCAACATGTCCATTTTATTTTCTGCTGGCTTTTCTGCTTCTTTCTTTAAATCTGCATAGTCGTTTCTCATACGTTCTATCTCTTTGACGGAGTAGTTATATTTCCTAATTGCTGCTTTACATTTAGAACATTGCGGGTTCATTTTTGCGTTATATTCTGAAACCTTACCTGCTAGAACAACTAAGGCGTCAATGGTTTTCTTTAACGCAAAAGTTGCTGGTTTTATCTGTTCATTCCATACCTTACCTCTTCTATCTTTATCTCTTATCTGCCATACACATTCTGCAACTAACGAAACAAAGTTGTCGTAGGTCTTAAATTCTTCAGATTTATATATGTCAGAAACATTCTTATATACCATGTCGCAATCTTTGTCCATAACCTTATGGTTGCAATGAAATCCTAGAAACTCATAGTTTACCTTTCGTATGAACTTCTTTATTTCTACTGAGTCAGTTGCTTTGACTTCAATTTCGTCGAATTCAGGAATAGTTAGTTTTTGCTGCTGAATTTCAGGCAATTTAGGCAAATGGTCAATAATGTCCTGCATTTCATAAAGATACTGTTCATTTTCTTCATCTTTCGCACTACAGTCTAAATTACATGTTAAAAGTTCCTGCTTTATCTTCTGGATTTTTGTTTCGAAAGTATATGAAGAAGGAATGAAGCTTTTCATCTCTACCAACATTGACGTAGGATTCATGACTAACGAGTTTGGTGCTGTAGTTGTTTGTATTGCTGTTGTGCCGATTGTTGAAATCATATCTTACATACAAAATAAAAAAAAATAAAAAAATAAAGTTAGTTTTATTTTTTATTTCGGGAAAATTCATGAAAATTCACGAGGTGAAAAAAGAGGTGAAAAAACAGGTGAGATCTCACCATCTACCCTAAATTATATTTTTGTCTGATTTACGCTCATTACGATGAAATCATGACAAAACATTTACGAAGAAGTCTTGACAAAACATTTACGAAGAAGTCTTGACAAAACATTTACGAAGAAGTCATGAAAATTCAAGAGGTGAAAAAAGAGGTGAAAAAACATTTACGAAGAAGTCTTGACAAAGCATATACGAAGAAGTCATGAAAATTCAAGAGGTGAAAAAAGAGGTGAAAAAACAGGTGAGATCTCACCATCTACCCTAAATTATATTTTTGTCTGATTTAAGCTCATTACGATGAAATCATGACAAAACATTTACGAAGAAGTCTTGACAAAACATTTACGTTCATGTTTGACAAAACATTTACGATGAAATCATGACAAATTCAAGAGGGTAGAAAAGAGGTGAGAAAACAGGTTAGATCTAACCTTCTACCCTAAATTATATTTTTGGGTCCTTTACACTCATTACGAAGAAGTCTTGACAAAACATTTACGAAGAAGTCTTGACAAAACATTTACGAAGAAGTCTTGACAAAACATTTACGATGAAATCATGACAAAACATTTACGAAGAAGTCTTGAAAAAACATTTACGAAGAAGTCTTGACAAAACATTTACGAAGAAGTCTTGACAAAGCATGTACGATGAAGTCATGAAAATTCAAGAGGGTAGAAAACGTGTTAGAAAAAATGTTATTTTCTAATATCTTCACATTCAATACTTTTTCAGCACTTTTCCGTAGTTATATATGAAAGACAATTCGAGATAAAAGTCATAGTACAATGGAATAATATGTTGCACACCATTTGTTGTGAACCAAACTTGAAAGTCAGAGAAACTGTTACTAGGTGGTTCGTAGAATTTAGAAGCAAAGTCATAAAAGTCCTTACCAATACATAGAAAACTATTGTTGCTTGAACTGAAACTTGCATGACACATAACATTTTGAGGGTCAAACACGTTTCTATAAACTGTCAAATCTGCTGGTGGAAGTATAAATTTAAATGGACCATCTGGTGGTAATGGTTCGTTCTGGTTTAGTAACCGAAGAAATTGTGCCCAAGAACGTTTGTCTACTTCCCAAAATAAAAACTCTGTATCTCTTGGAGGGTTAATTTCAATCTTTTGAAATGAAACGGTGGAGTTCATCTTGTCATATTCTAGTTTCAGATAGTATGTTCCATTTAGTAAAGAGTCGTATTTTTCTTGAAATTCCCAATAATATTTGTTCATTTGAGTTTGAAAGTCATTTAGAGTTTTCTCAAGACTTTCGTCTGAACGAACTGTAAAGATCCTCATTTCGTCAAATTTGTCTATTAGACCACCAGAACCTTTATACTGCCCATGAAAATATACTGCGAACATAAATGCGTTAGTTCTATTTGAAAACAAAACTCTTCTAAATCCTATTGCCTTTGCATCTGAAGGACTTTGAAGCCAACGAATTGGATAGTCAAACCTGTATGCTCGGGATGAAATTTCTTCATCTGAAATAGTCCTACCAGCATTTGTAAAGATATAGTCTAACGGTTTTGTATCTGCTACTTTTGTTCTTTGTTTTTCAACCTGAAGCATTTAATATATGTAAAAATATATTGTTTTAAAATAGTATGCCATTTCATATTTCTCATCTAACAAACAAGTTTCCCAACGGTCTTCTCCAACAAACTCAGCGTACATTTCAAATAAAATTAAAAAATGTCACTTTTTTTAAAATAAATTTTTTACTTCATGCAATGTTTTATTTCTGTGCCGTCTTCAAGTATACCCCAGTACTTACGCTTGGAGAGGACATGAACTTCGGAAAATACCTTATCTAGCTTAAAACAGCCCATCTTTTCACCGACCATTCCCATTTCAATGAGTTTGTTGTACCCTTCTTCGTTCGTCATGAGTGCGTCAATGTTCTCATAGTAAACCACAACTTTCGATTTGACTTCGGAGAAGAATTTGTTGTAGTTGTCAAGGACTGCCTTTGCGAACTGAGGGTAAGACCAATGTTCGACAATAGGTTTTAATGTGGTTACTAAGCCACTTTGACCTTGAGTGAATTCGTACTTCAAAACAAAAGGAGAAAACCTTTCAACAAAGTTGTCGACCTTCTCATAATGTTTACTCTTCATCTCTTGAGGTTTCTTAATGGAATATCCCCATGTCGAATTCATAAGCAATTTGAGTGTCATTGCAAGTTTGGGGTTTGAAGCTTTCCTAATATCATACAGTTGTTGTATGACTTTTCCAACTGTATAGTTCCTTCCCGGGAACTCACCATCTTCGTTTGGAATTCCAGTCGGAATATATTGGACAAACCTCATGTATGCAGCGTTAAGGTCGACATAGTATATCTTTTCGTTTGAGTCGAACTTGTCGCAACCAATTGGTCCAGTTTGTGGAAATTCAAGTGAGTCTCTTATCTTCTGAGAAACTTCTCCTGTTATCTCATAAACATCGTCGAAGCAACCTGTTTCATATAAAACCTTCTGACCTAACTCAGATGCTCTCCAATACAATTTGACGTCAATTGGATGTCTCAATGGAAGTTTGTTTATAGCATCTTGAAGTTCTTGCAACCTCATTGGAAGTTCTTCTGGTTCAGGTTGGTATCCGAACAATCCAACTCCTTTTGGAATTGTGTACTTCTTTTGTACTAGAACTTTGTCTGGAACAACTTTTGGTCTTGCTAACAATGAAAAGTTTGTTTCGTCTTTTGGTACAAAAGTTTCTGTCAGCTTGTCATCTGGAATTGGTTCCAACAAACCTTTCTCGAAAAGAATGTTTACAGCTCTGACAATGTTGCACTTGCCTTTTCCGAACAATGGGTTTGTAAGACTTTCGTTCAACATGAAGTGGTTGTGGACAATTGCAATCTTCAACCATGGTAAATTGAACTCAACAACATAGTCGTCATGTGAAGAACCTTTAGCTGTAGGTATGTTAACTCGGATATTGACATTTGCCAACGGTGCAATTTTTGCCAATTGACCTCTGAGAATGTACCTTGTCTTCACACATGACTCAAGATACTTCATCTTCTCTTCTGAAACAAGACCAGAGTTCCTGAGACATGTAAGAATACAAGGTTCATTGACAATTGTTTCAATTGAATTGTAAATTCCATACCTTGTCAAGTCAATGTCAGACTTATTTATGAACGGGAAGTATCCAGCATGTTGTCTGACTGCTTGAGGGTTAGGTTGGTACCATTCGAACTTGACACTTGCAATTCCTTCAATTGCATTCAAAATGTCTGAGTCGGAGTCAACCATTTGTTCTCTCTTTGTAGTCTTGAAAGCGTCAAGAAGTTTTGCAGCTGTTTGTTCATTGCCATTTGCATAGTAAATGTGACCATCCAAATCCGTTATGGTCAATCTGAGATTGTGTCCTTTCTTATTTCCGTCTTGAATTGCAGCAAGTACACCCATGAAGCCTTCTTTGTTCTTTCCTTCGTCAAAGTTTACTGTAAAGGTTCGACCAGATGTAATTTGACTTCTAACTTCACGGTACTTTTCATATGCATATCTTGTTCTTTCCATGGGAGCATGTGTGTCTTCACCTTTTCCTTTTTTCCTTCTCAAAGGATGCAATTGTTCGTCATGTTTCCAGTAGAATCTGGCAAAGCCGTCGTGTCCTTCAACTTGAGGTTCACTAACATCGAAAGGCATGTCCATAAGACGTTCTTCTTCTAACCTCTCTAGTCTGTTTGGATAATTGGCACGTGCTGTTTCCAAATCCATTTCGTAGGTCAGACCAGCCAGTTTGTCATAGACTTTTATGGGTCTTCCCTTCCTATATTTAAACTTCTTCGAAACTCTCCAACCATATCTTTGCAACTCTGCTTTTATTCTAGCAGACTTTCTATCCATTCTATATGGGGGCATTTTTATAAAAATAAAAAAATATTTTTTTTCTTTACTTTACATAACCGCCTGCTGCCATAAGTCTTTGACGCCAACCCATACCAGCTAATGAAGGTTGACTTGGTTTAGTTTGGAAACTAAACTTTGGTTTTGGTTTATCTTCAGTTTTTGGTTTTTCTTCTTCTATCGGTTTTTCGTCACTTTTCGGTTCCTCTGACTTTACCTCACCTGCAGGAACAGTTGTGTCGTTAACATCTTCATAAATATCATATGCCATTTGTTTTTGTTTTCCTTTCAACTTTTTGTGTTTGTTGTAAAGTTTAGAATATTTCGACTCTAAGTCAATGAGATGTTCTATAATGAACTGCTGGTCAGTGAAGTAAACTTTTCCATCTGTTGTCTCGAAAGCTCCTTCAGACTTCAATATTTTATTTGTGAGAGTCTGTTTCTTTTTGAGATACTTGCCGTTCCATTTCTATGAAAAGTGACTTTGTAGTTAGGGTTTGTATTTCCAGACCTGGCACTTTCTATTATTGAATTTTTCTCTTCATCTGTAAGTTCTTTGACGGGTTTTGACAATGGTTCTGAACTTTTTGTTTGTGGTGTCAAATCTACCGTTTCAACTTCTTCGGTCATTTCATCTCAGTAAAAATTTTTAGTTTGGTTTGTTTTCAACTGGTTGTTGTTGTTTTTTAAGTCGGTCTAAAACTTCCTGAGGTATAGGAAGAACTTGACAAACACGTTGTGTAACTGCTGGAAGTCGACAAATCCATCTTGAACCCATTTGTCTCAATGCTGTATTGTTCATTTCATCTCAGTAAAAAACTTTACATCCCCCACGTTTGAGGCGGTTGAGGTTGGTTATTGTTTACCCACTGTTGTGCATGGTTATATCCTCTGTTAAAGAATCTTTCACCTTGGTCCATATAGTGTCCTGCTTGGTTATAGTAGTCATTTGCTTTTGTTATAATAGTTTCCTGCTTGTCTTCCTACATTGTCCATCCATCCTTGAACTTTTCCTCTTGTTTCAGGATTTGGAATAAGATTTGTTGCATCTCGTGCTACATCCCAACCTTTCTGTACAGTTTGTATAATAGGTTGTGCTTTCTCTTTAAGTATACCTAATGTACTCAAAATCTTCCTTCCAACCCCAAATACACCTCTGGCTATTGTTCCCACTGCGGGTAAAAATCTAGATGCAACTCCTGCTAATGCGCCAAATAAACCCATTTCTTATAGGATAAAAATGACGAATCTAAACAAGGACCCCTATGTTTCTAAAGCAACAAAAAAAGCACTCATGATAAAAATCTTTAGTTCAACACCAAATGCTTGGTTTATGGATATCTTGGAAAACATTCCGAGTATAGAGAAGATGGACCACCATACTGGTTAATATTTGTCGGTCAAAACACAAGATACTGTGAAGCCATACCATTATGGTCCAAAAATATTTTAGATGTGAAAACTGCTTTGACAATATTCGTTGACAAATACCATCCAACAAAACTGACATCTGACTATGAAAGTTCTTTCAAATCAGATGATGTAAAAAACTATCTGCGTTCAAAAAATGTAAACCAATATTTCATTGTCGACCAAAACCATTCTGCTCTTGGTGTCATTGACGGTTGTATAAAAATGTTAAGAGACTTAAACCAACCACAAGGTGGTGAAGCAAATGAAATGTCATATGACGACAAGTATAGACACTTCTCCATGGCAAAGATGAGACAAGTTTTAAATATTTACAACAACCGTAAACAAAAAGGTTTGGGAAACCACTCCCCCGAAGAAATGAAAAACAACCCTGACTAGAGAAAGACTATATATTTAATAATTTAGTCAAAAGAGACAAACAAGAAAGAATGCCGGGCTTCAACTTAAGAAGGCGACAAAGTAAAAATAGAAATACCTAAACGCGACCCATATGAAAAATACTATTGACTATGACAACAATGGGAACCCGACAGGTACTCACATTCGTGTTTCGTAAAAATAGAAGAAAGTATTACAAGAGAATATTATGAAGTTTTAGGCAAACATGGCAAAATGTACAGACTGCAAGCAGAAGATAAAACTACTATTGTCAGACCTCGTTTCAAACTTGTCAAAGTTCAAGGTGGTATACTTTCAAAGACAGTTCCTAACAAATATAAGACAACTCCTGACGAATATGCTAAAGAAGTTGAAAATGACGACTAAGCATTTCTATACCATGCGTAAACTGTCATGTAAGGTGGCATGTATTCTTTACTTTGTCCCGTTGTTTGCGTATATCCCGAAACGCGATGTGTATGGTTTCCTCCTCCCTCAGTGTTACTCCAGTAACAATTTATGGCAAACTGAACGTTGTCTTTAACATCATATCCTTTACCTTTTGTCATTGCTGACCAATCCCAATATCTATGCTTATGCCAACCTGCTTGAGATGTACTTAAATCTATGTAGTGACTATGTGCAGGTAAATTTTCACCTGAAATCGTTTTACTTCCACCTGTTTCCTTTGAAGAGTTTGCACAATACAAAAACCTGTCGACTATTTGAGTCCAAGTTCCAAAACCCAGAACTGTTTCTGGTCTGGTAGAGTTCATTGAAACATATAATGAGCCAACCGGGTACATAAGATTCGGCAAAATTTGTTTAAGCACATTGAGTTCCTGTCTTAGATGCATAATACTATTGTCATTAGATATCAAAGTATCTACAAGACTTGTTGCCGGTGGTATTGTTGGACCTTTACTTGGCAAGGTTGTGTTTAGTGTAATATCATCTGCTGTAAAGGTTGTAAAACTTGTATGTGTATGAGTCTTATCTGCTTTCTTCTCTAACTCATCGTTAACATAAGTTTTATCTGCTTTAAGGTCTAAACATCCTGAAACCCATCCTGTATCGGCTTTAGTTTTTAAAATCTTTGATGTCCGTTCATGGTACCATTCAGCCCTTTCTATAATTTCTTTATCTTTTTCATCCACATATTCCTTATCCGCCTTCTTCACTAACACACTAGCCATAAGTCCCTTATCTACCTTATTTTCAAGGCTAACGTTTAAGTCTGTTATTTCAGATATAGAATGTGTATGAGTCTTTTTAGAATATTCGTTTTCAGCTCTTGTCACTTCACTTGACATTTTATTGTCAACATATGTTTTGTCTGCTAGTTCAGGATGAGTATGTTCTTTTGTTGCATAAGCATTGTTAGCTCTTTCTTCTTCTTTTGCTATTGCATCGTCTACATATTCTTTGTCAGCTTTGTTGTCAACATCTGCTTTCAAAAGAAGTTCATTTATAGGTTTCTCGTTTAAAGTTCCTTTTGTTGGATTTATACAGACAGTATTGTTCTTCTTGTCTTGAAATAGAAACTCATCTGTCATTGGGTTTAATGTCAGTTTTAAGTTTCCTTCTTTCAATGACTCAGATATCTTAGAATAGTTTGAAAAGTTTGTTGTGTTCTTATTTAGAGCTTGCATAATGAGTTGTCGGTTGTGTTGTATTTCTCTCATGGAAGCAATATCTTTCGACATTTTTATTCTAGATAAAATATGCTTTCAATAGAAAAAGAAAATTCAAGAGTTGCTACAACTAAACCATTAGATGAACTTTTACTAATGTCGGTCAAAAGTTTGAGACAGATACCGTAAAGCATGAAGGCTATCGTTTTGACTACCCATTAAGATGGCTAAGAGACCCATCTGTCACAAAAGCTATTGGCTTTCGTAGAATGAAGTTCATTTCAGAAGCCATACATGGTTTCCCATTTACGGTCGGTTTTGAAGTTCGATACTATAACAAAGAAAAACGTATGTATGAGAAATTTGAACAGGGAAAACTTTTACAAGTTAGTTTGCTTGTAAACTTAGAAACAACTCTTCAAGCTTTTCAAGAAAAAATAAACGATATCTATATCGAATATGCAAACCAGTATAACATTGACGAAGGAGAATACCATCTCGATATTATTTATGACAGGAAAAATGCAACTGTTAAAATCAATAGAATAGAAGACCTTGGAGAAAACGTTTATATTTCTACAAAATATAACAACTTGGCATGGTATAGATTTATGAGGATGTTAAATCAGCCTGCAGCATATCCAGTACACCCAGACTTTTATGAAGTCGAAAACCCTAATGGAACATATGAAAATGTTTTCGACCAAGATGCTATTATTGTTCATGCTTCATTTTCTGGCGCCCAAAACTCTTTCTTATGCTTGGCAAATGACTTTTACGAAAAACCTACAAAGTTATACGAACCACCAAGTGGAAGTATTTCAGACTTTCAAGTATGGTTTACTACAGATGGAAGAAAAAGAATAATTCCATTATACCATGTGTTTTACTTAGAACTTAGTTTCATATACAACTACTATCGAACGGTAAAAATATAATTTTTTAATACGGTTGAGGTGTTGGATTTGGTTGCCAACTAGACTGTGGTGCAGGTTCAGGCTGTTGTATAACAGGAGCTTGTTCTTCTGGTTCAGGGTCTTTAGGTATAATACCAACAAACTGACCTACTCTTTTACCAATATTTTTGACTCCGTTCCAAATTCCTCTTCCTACGGTTTTGACGCCATTCCATATACCTCTTCCAACATTTCGAAAGAAGTTTCCTATCTTACTGAAGAAACCCATTTTACTATATGTAAAAATCTAATGTCCGCCTAGTCTCTTACGTTTCCTGTTGAGTTCCATAGCATTCTTTAACTGGAGCTCATACATTCTGTTTCTCCTCTGGTAGAAAACATATTCTGGGTCAACTCCTGTGTTCGCGTCATCTGCATAAAGTTGTTTATATCCCACTTCAGGGTTTGTATAAAACTCTTTCCATCTCATATTTGCATACCATGGTGGCAAACCTAACGCAGCGTCATTTGACATGGCAGTTTGCATTTGTACATCTGTTGGCACTTGACCATAGTTTGCCATTGCAGTTTGTATTCTAACTTCATTTGGAATATTCTCTGGGTTTGGTTGTCCAGGTTGCTGTGCATTCGCTAAGTTCTGTGCGTCCATTTAATATTAGATAAAAATATCTCTTACGAGTACATATACTGAACATTTGCAGGCATTGGTTCATCTTCATATTCTCTGTACTTTTCTGCCACGTCAAATAAATAAATGACACAATGGAAAAAACCTAAAACAAGTAGTCCTATTTCAAACCACATTTACTTACTAATAAAATTTCTTTGTTATGACACTTTCTCCGGTTTATAGGACCTCTCTCATATTCTATCTTGTCATATCTAAACTCATAGTCATGTATGTCCTCTAACCATCTCATAACGGTTTCCAAACCACTTTTATCGGATGTAAAGTAAAAGCATGGATGGTTATGTATAACGTCTAAAGTTTCTAAAGAGTCTCTCAAAGTCCAGTCTACTTGGTATTGAAAATCCCATGTGTTATAGAACGGCGGGTCCACTATAAAGAAAACATTTTCCTTGTCTTTATATTTTTCATACAACTCTGTCCAATGACATCTCACAAACTCTATACCCTCAATATATTTTCTATGTCCTCTTTGAAAACATGTGTATAGTTAAGATATAAAACTTTTGACATAAGTGTTTCAATGTCATGAACTCTTATAGAACCACTATATAATAGTCTAGCAGATATACTATCCCAGTCTATATATTCTGCTTTTTTCAAAACCTCTCTCACAATATTTTTCTTATCTAATGGTATACGTTCCATCTTACCTATAGGTATCTTTTCTTTTAACTCTTTCAATATATTGTTTGTGTCTGGAATATGTTTGAGACGGTCCATATAGTTGTCGAAGTCATTGCATATAATCTTTGAGTCTGGGAATATTGTATGGCACAAATGGGATATATAGAAACTTCCACCGAACAAATCTACAAATGTTAGACCATTCGGTAGTTTCTTAAGTTCTCTCAATATAATATCTTTACATTTACCCTTATTTCCAAAGAACGGTAACGGTGGTTTTGTAAAATTCATTTATATATAATAATAAAAATGTTTTTTCCTGAAAAGTGACAGAAAAGTGACAAAACATGAAAACATATATAATTTGTGAAAAGCGACACATTATATAATGTTTTCGACCCAGAAGAAGGCTTCTTCCCAGAAGCAATGGAGGAAGAAGAAGAGTCCTCCGAATTCACACCAGAAGACTAACAATTTTCCGAATAAAAACTTCATTTATACTAAACATCTTCGGGGCTAGAGGGCACGAAGTGCCTGGAAGCCCCACTACCTTTTTTTTTTTTTTTTTTAATTAATTCATATTGATGACATTAAACGATCAAATCTTTTGTAAATCCTCTTACGATAAAATTTTCTAGACTATTTTGAATGGCCACTTAAGGGTGCGCCCGGGAGGATCATGTAAACTTCAGAATTTAGAACCTTAATTTTTAAGCAATAACTTGGTACCTAAATAGGTAGGAAAACTCTAAAAATATCAAAAAATACAACTTGGCTCCATAATAATCCTGTCATGGTGGCTGTTTGTATCCCCTAGTATTTTCCTCTTGAATCTCTTTTTCTGTCGAAATTAAATTCAAATCTCAGAAGTAGAAGTGAATAATCGACTTATTACTGCTATTATACGAATAAATGTTCCATATTAAGTTCTGTCAAAATGTAAGCTATTCAATTCTATCGTCGGGGGAAGTATCACAAATCTATCAATTTTTTTGTAAAAGTATACAAAAACATATGGTGTTCAATTAGTTTATAATAATATAAATATTAAGATTATCCAAAATAAGAAAAACTAGGTTTTGAGAACACTTTTGAGATGATAATCAAAATATTTTGATTGAAAAATAATATATTATTTATCAGATATAGAATGGATTTTTTCAAATTTAAAAATTCTGAAAAATAAACAGTTTTGTAAAGTAAAAAAAATGAACGAAAACTCGAGACCTCGTATTCCAAATGAATGGGTAAGATATATGTATGAAAAACTTGAAAGTGGTGAGGAAGGATGTCAATTTGGAAGAAAAGTGAGAAAATTTTGATTGTGAACTCATCTCTAATATTTTGGCTCCTTAATATATTTGAATCATGATCTTTGAGAAGAGTTCTCAAAAGTATTCACAAAAGCTATTTTTCCTTGAAATTTAAAAATCCTGTTTATCATATATTACCGAATTCAATTCCCTACATATTTCAAAATATTCTATGAACATTCAATTTTTGAAAAAAAAACATATTTTTTCCAAATATATTTATTATCATATTTCTAATAATATTTCCTAAAGCGTCACTTTTTACTTCCTCGACGATTATTTCCTCTCAAAAAATTCAATAGCTTACATTTTGACAGAACTTAATATGAAACAGGAGATTAAAGTTTGGCAGAGTTGATGGAGAATGAAAAATCATCTTCAATTTTTTAAGGGTGCACCCGCATGTACGTTTATTTGAGAGGAGGAGGATTACCCTCTCAATTTTGAAAGCTTCGTTAACTTAATATCTCGATGAATATTGGATTAAAATTGAATTTGCCCATACCAATATATCTGATACAATATCCTTAAGTTTTACTAAAAAGAATTTTTTAAAATCCCTGCAGATTCGGGGATTTTTAAATTTTTTGATTTTTTTCGAAAATTTTTCGGAAAAAAAATATTTTCAGAAGAGCCTTAACGGCTAAGTTTTATGTTTAATGTTGAGTATCAAAAAGAATGGACATCTGATATAGCCATCATATATCCCAGAAGCAAATAAAAATTCTGACTTTTTAAGCATAAAAAATGAAATTTTATTTTTTGCAAAAAACAGGCCACCCGGATGTACGTTTATTTGAGAGGAGGAGGATTAAATTTTTGAAAGCACTAAAATTTGTAAATATGCTAGTTATATAATAATATGCATTATTTTAAAAATAAAAATTAAAGCACGTTAAAATCTTTTTTGATGAATTTTTACAAAAGCTACTCAGGATAATGCAAGATATGAGTAGTTAAACATAAATTTCAAATCAGATTTTACTTATAATAAATATTTTAAATTTCCGAAAATTAAGTTCAGATCGACTCTATACGTAGTAAATACTAAATAAGGTCCCAAAAACCTATTAAACAGTATCAAAACTATCAAGATTGTAATGTTTTTGAAGAAAAATTTATAGAATTATGGACTTCAAACAGATATTATGTAAATAAAAATAATATAATGAATTTATTTATGTTTCATATTAAGTTCTGTCAAAATGTAAGCTATTGAATTTTTTGAGAGGGAAATAATCGTCGAGGAAAAAGTGACGCTTTAGGAAATATTATTAGAAATATGAAACACCGTTTTTGATATGGTCATTCATAGTGCTGCATAATTCATATCAGTAAGTAATTTCGGAAACCAGATAAAAAATATTAATTTGCCCAACCATTGCTGCACCATGTGAAATTAAAAGTTTGACCAATTTTTTTTCCTATTATATGATGTTGCAGTATAAAGAGCGGGTTTTCCATTATTATCTCTTTCATTGATATTTATACTGTGTGAAATAAGAAGTTATGCTGTTTCTTTACTATTATTGAGTGTTGCAATATGAAGAGCTGTTTCTCCATCTTTATCTTTTTCGTTGATATTTGCACCATGTGAAATAAGAAATTCTACTTTTTTTTGCTCCGAGTATGCACTGCCTCATGAAGAACTGTTTTTCCATTTATACACTTTTCCATTGATATTCGCACCATGTGAAATAAGAAATTCGGCTGTTTCTTTTCTATTATAACGTGTGCATCATGAAGAGTGATTTCTCTATATTAATTTTTTTTCATTGATATTCGCATAAACAGAAAGGAAGTATTTGCAAAGAGATGATATATCAAATATTGTTGAGTAAATAAAGAATTTGTTAGAATTATTAGTCTGATCGAAATAGACGAAAAATGCATCAAGATTTTTACACCATCCACAATGAGCTAAATTGATCTCAATATTGTGTGAAATAATTGCATATTCCCTGCAATTTTGATTTGGTTATTTATGTTTCAAGCATTCACTCATGATCTCTGAATTACCTCTCAAAAATGATAATTCTAGGCATTTTTGAGTTATTTCTAAGTTAAATTTAGTTCTCAATAACTTGAAACAATCAACTGCACCATGATAACAACATAATTCAAGGAAGGAAAATTCTTCCTTAGGATTTGGATATAATCTGCTTTTTAGTATTTGATCTTTATCAAATCTATCTATTTCAGTGAATGCAATGAACCTCCCTAAGTCATTACACATAAGAGGAAGGATTACCATTATTGTTAAAAGGCTCTTCCATATAGACTTATATTATCTGAGGGGCACGAAGAAATATTGAAAGATTGAGGCTAATACAAGTTGAACCTTTCATCTTCTCTACAGACTGCGTTAAAAAATATAGAAGATAAATAAACTCATGTTATGCAAAATATGCTGATGAAATATGCAAATACCGAGAGCACACTTTATGTGAGAATTGTATATGACAAACAAAATTCACAAGTGTCATTTCAAAATCTACGAAGACAATCCAAAGAAAGACGAACAAATATATAACAGAATTCACTGCAATGTCATGGTATTATTTGCAAAGAATGTTAAATCAGAAAGTCGAACTTCCTTTAGCAAATATTTACAGTCGATATGCAAGAGATGAACCATATTTATTTAAAGATGTTTTCGACCAGTGCTATTATTGTTCATGCTTCATTTTCTGGCGCCCAAAACTCTTTTTTATGCTTGGCAAATGACTTTTACGAAAAACCTACAAAGTTATACGAACCACCAAGTGGAAGTATTTCAGACTTTCAAGTATGGTTTACTACAGATGGAAGAAAAAGAATAATTCCATTATACCATGGTTTTACTTAGAACTTAGTTTCATATACAACTACTATCGAACGGTAAAAATATAATTTTTTAATACGGTTGAGGTGTTGGATTTGGTTGCCAACTGACTGTGGTGCAGGTTCAGGCTGTTGTATAACAGGAGCTTGTTCTTCTGGTTCAGGGTCTTTAGTATAATACCAACAAACTGACCTACTCTTTTACCAAATTTTTGACCCGTTCCAAATTCCTCTTCCTACGGTTTTACCATTCCATTATACTCTTCCAACATTTCGAAAGAAGTTTCCTATCTTACTGAAGAAACCCATTTTACTATATGTAAAAATCTAATGTCCGCCTAGTCTCTTACGTTTCCTGTTGAGTTCCATAGCATTCTTTAACTGGAGCTCATACATTCTGTTTCTCCTCTGGTAGAAAACATATTCTGGGTCAACTCCTGTGTTCGCGTCATCTGCATAAAGTTGTTTATATCCCACTTCAGGGTTTGTATAAACTCTTTCCATCTCATATTTGCATACCATGGTGGCAAACCTAACGCAGCGTCATTTGACATGGCAGTTTGCATTTGTACATCTGTTGGCACTTGACCATAGTTTGCCATTGCAGTTTGTATTCTAACTTCATTTGGAATATTCTCTGGGTTTGGTTGTCCAGGTTGCTGTGCATTCGCTAAGTTCTGTGCGTCCATTTAATATTAGATAAAAATATCTCTTACGAGTACATATACTGAACATTTGCAGGCATTGGTTCATCTTCATATTCTCTGTACTTTTCTGCCACGTCAAATAAATAAATGACACAATGGAAAAAACCTAAAACAAGTAGTCCTATTTCAAACCACATTTACTTACTAATAAAATTTCTTTGTTATGACACTTTCTCGCGTTTATAGACCTCTCTCATATTCTATCTTGTCATATCTAAACTCATAGTCATGTATGTCCTCTAACCATCTCATAACGGTTTCCAAACCACTTTAATCGAATGTAAAGTAAAAGCATGGATGGTTATGTAAAACGTCTAAAGTTTCTAAAGAGTCTCTCAAAGTCCAGTCTACTTGGTATTGAAAATCCCATGTGTTATAGAACGGCGGGTCCACTATAAAGAAAACATTTTCCTTGTCTTTATATTTTTCATACAACTCTGTCCAATGACATCTCACAAACTCTATACCCTCAATATATTTTTCTATGTCCTCTTTGAAAACATTTGTATAGTTAAGATATAAAACTTTTGACATAAGTGTTTCAATGTCATGAACTCTTATAGACCACTATATAATAGTCTAGCAGATATACTATCCCGAGTCAATATACTCTGCTTTTTCAAAACCTCTCCTACATATTTTTCTTATCTAATGGTATACGTTCCATCTTACCTATAGGTATCTTTTCTTTTAACTCTTCAATATTTTGTTTTGTGTCTGGATATGTTTGAGACGGTCATATAGTTGTCGAAGTCATTGCATATAATCTTTGAGTCGGAAATATTGTATGGCACAAATGGATATATAGAAACTTCCACCGAACAATCTACAAATGTTAGACCATTCGGTAGTTTCTTAAGTCTCTCAATATAATATCTTTACATTACTTCTTATTTCCAAAGAAGGGTAACGGTGGTTTTGTAAAATTCATTTTATATATATAATAAAAATGTTTTTTCCTGAAAAGTGACAGAAAAGTGACGGGGGGTTAGAGGGCACGAAGTGCCTGGAAGCCCCACTCCCTTTTTTTTTTTTTTTTTTTTTTTTTTTTTTTTTTTTTATGAATATATATTCTATATAAGAATGACGCTACATTCAATCTAAGACCAATATCTCAAAGAATTCCTCATTTAAGTATTACTTTTCATTGTTTTTTAAAAAATATCTTTGCTTATTTGTTCACATTTTTGACATTTATTATATGTTTTTAATCATATTTCCGATGATATGAATATATATTTATATAAGAATGACGCTACATTCAATCTAAGACCAATATCTCAAAGAATTCCTCATTTAAGTATTACTTTTCATTGTTTTTTAAAAATATCTTTGCTTATTTGTTCACATTTTTGACATTTATTATATGCTTTTATCATATTTCCGATGATATGAATATATATTCTATATAAGAATGACGCTACATTCAATCTAAGACATATATCAAAGAATTCCTCATTTAAGTATTACTTTTCATTGTTTTTTAAAAAAATATCTTTGCTTATTTGTTCACATTTTTGACATTTATTATATGCTTTTTATCATATTTCCGATGATATGAATATATATTCTATATAAGAATGACGCTACATTCAATCTAAGACCAATATCTCAAAGAATTCCTCATTTAAGTATTACTTTTCATTGTTTTTTAAAAATATCTTTGCTTATTTGTTCACATTTTTGACATTTATTATATGCTTTTTATCATATTTCCGATGATATGAATATATATTCTATATAAGAATGACGCTACATTCAATCTAAGACCAATATCTCAAAGAATTCCTCATTTAAGTATTACTTTTCATTGTTTTTTAAAAAATATCTTTGCTTATTTGTTCACATTTTTGACATTTATTATATGCTTTTTATCATATTTCCGATGATATGAATATATATTCTATATAAGAATGACGCTACATTCAATCTAAGACCAATATCTCAAAGAATTCCTCATTTAAGTATTACTTTTCATTGTTTTTTAAAATATCTTTGCTTATTTGTTCACATTTTTGACATTTATTATATGCTTTTTATCATATTTCCGATGATATGATATATATTCTATATAAGAATGACGCTACATTCAATCTAAGACCAATATCTCAAAGAATTCCTCATTTAAAGTTTACTTTTTGTTTTTTAAAAAAATATCTTTGCTTATTTGTTCACATTTTTGACATTTATTATATGCTTTTTATCATATTTCCGATGATATGAATATATATCTATATATAAGAATGGCTACATTCAATCTAAGACCAATTATCTCAAAGAATTCTTCATTTAGTATTACTTTTCATTGTTTTTTAAAAAATATCTTTGCTTATTTGTTCACATTTTTGACTTTATTATATGCTTTTTATATATTTCCGATGATATGAATATATATTCTATATAAGAATGACGTCTATTACTAAGACCAATATCTCAAAGAATTCCTCATTTAAGTATTACTTTTCATTGTTTTTTAAAAAATATCTGCTTATTTGTTCACATTTTTGATTTTTTATGCTTTTTATCATATTTTCCGATGATATGAATATATATTCTATATAAGAATGACGCTACATTCAATCTAAGACCACAATATCTAAGAAATTCCTCATTTAAGTATTACTTTTCATTGTTTTTTAAAATTATCTTTGCTTATTTGTTCACATTTTTGACATTTATTATATGCTTTTTATCATATTTCCGATGATATGAATATATATTCTATATAAGAATGACGCTACATTCAATCTAAGACCAATATCTCAAAGAATTCCTCATTTAAGTATTACTTTTCATTGTTTTTTAAAAAATATCTTTGCTTATTTGTTCACATTTTTGACATTTATTATATGCTTTTTATCATATTTCCGATGATATGAATATATATTCTTATATAAGAATGACGCTACATTCAATCTAAGACCAATATCTCAAAGAATTCCTCATTTAAGTATTACTTTTCATTGTTTTTTAAAAAATATCTTTGCTTATTTGTTCACATTTTGACATTTATTATATGCTTTTTATCATATTTCCGATGATATGAATATATATTCTATATAAGAATGACGCTACATTCAATCTAAGACCAATATCAAAGAAATTCCTCATTTAAGTATTACTTTTCATTGTTTTTTAAAAAATATCTTTGCTTATTTGTTCACATTTTTGACATTTATTATATGCTTTTTATCATATTTCCGATGATATGAATATATATTCTATATAAGAATGACGCTACATTCAATCTAAGACCAATATCTCAAAGAATTCCTCATTTAAGTATTACTTTTCATTGTTTTTTAAAAAATATCTTTGCTTATTTGTTCACATTTTTGACATTTATTATATGCTTTTTATCATATTTCCGATGATATGAATATATATTCTATATAAGAATGACGCTACATTCAATCTAAGACCAATATCTCAAAGAATTCCTCATTTAAGTATTACTTTTCATTGTTTTTTAAAAAATATCTTTGCTTATTTGTTCACATTTTTGACATTTATTATATGCTTTTATATCATATTTCCGATGATATGAATATATATTCTATATAAGAATGACGCTACATTCAATCTAAGACCAATATCTCAAAGAATCCCTCATTTAAGTATTACTTTTCATTGTTTTTAAAAAATATCTTGGCTTATTTGTTCACATTTTTGACATTTATTATATGCTTTTTATCATATTTCCGAT